GTGCCCATCCAGCACGAGCACATGGGGTTTTCCGTCGAGCAAGTTGCGGTCGCCGAGCTGCTTGTGGAAGTTCTTGATGTACTTGATGAACACCTCACCAAACATGAAGGACGACTCCGTGCAGTTGTAGAACGCATCCGGCGGGCCGTTGAGATCCGCGACCCAATCTCCGTTGAAGCGTTGCCCATTGAAGGTGATGGTAGGGGCCAGCACGGCGCCGGCGGCGTTGATGGTAGTGATGATCGTGCAGTTCTCTCGCGAGGTGGAGCGCATCTGGGCGACCACCGGCTGCCCCCGTTCCGCCACGACCCGCTGTCCCTGCGTACCTTGAACGGTGCCACCTGCAATGATTTTTTGCGGCGGCAAAGCGGGAGTAGGGGGGAGGGAGGAGCAGTAGGAGNGAGAATACAGCCTTCTCGTCTTGAGCCTCGAGAAAAAAAAAATCCACACAGGGGCCACTGCCAGTAGTGTTGCAGCAGCAGCAGCAGCAGCAGCAGCAGCAGCAGCAGAAGCAGCAGCACCGCGACAAGCTTCTCCTTCCCACACATCAATTCCGTGTGTGTGCTGCGCAAAAATCATGCGTATCAGCATGCGAAACTGCTCTTGAAGCAACGTGTGTGCATGCTGCCGACATGAACAAGGATCCCAGACAGTAGCCAGCGTACACGACAGCAATTTCGCGTTCATGTAGCAGTGGTCCTCTGCGGAGACCACGCGCTGCGGGAAAACTCCATTTTTTATTACAGCAGCCGCAGAACTCTGCCTATTTTTCACGTCGTGCATGTGGAAAAGAGGGTTTCGGAGGTCGAGTGCGATTTTATCGGGTGCAAGTTCAGCACCCTAAGATTCACGCACCCGCGATCTGAGTGCAAAAATGAAGAGAGAGCGAAGCAGGAGGGGTACAAAGTTACTAAAAAGTAGGGTCGCCCGAGTAGGCAGCATCCCTCGGCCAACGTGGGACACCAATCATTTGGTTCTTTCAAACCAGTACGTAAAAGCTGGGATAGGCTGCAAAGCAAGAATAAGCANTAAGCGCTACAAGCCGCAGGTCTTACATTAAAACCGTCGAAGATACAATTTGGGCCAAAGGAAGTGAAGTATTTGGGGCATATTCTTTCCTCCGCAGATGGCATACGAATACGTTTAGGTGAAGATCGGATAAAATCGATACTAGAGTTGCCAACGCCAACAAACATCAAAAGTTTGCGATCAGTCCTAGGAACGTTCAACTATGTCAGGAAATTTATCCCAGACTTAGCCGCCGTCACCGCACCAATGGTCGACCTTACGAAGAAAGACGCAGTGAAGTCGGTAGCGAAACGCTGGGGTCCGAAACATGATGAAGCATTTGCCGAAGTGAAACGATTACTCACCAACGCTCCTGTTTTGCATTTTCCGGACTTTTCTAAAGAGTTTGTTATCCACGTAGACGCATCTGAAGTGGGAGCAGGAGCATTCCTGGCACAACAGAATGGCGATGACGTGAATATCGTAGCATACTTTAGCCAGCGATTCAACAAAAGCCAACAACACTACTCTGCCACCATGAAAGAATGCTATGCTGTTGTTCTAGCAATTCAACACTGGCGTCCATATTTATGGGGTAGACATTTTACGTGCGTGCGTAACTGATCATCATGCGGCATTGCGATATCTTCATACGATGCAAGACACGTCAAATATGCTCACTAGATGGGCAATAGCACTGCAATCCTTCGATTTCACGGTAAAACACAAACCGGGAAAGTTGCATGTAGTGCCGGATACGTTATCGCGACT